GGTGGAATGGAAGAAAGGGGCCTTACTTATTGCCAATGGTGGTGGCAGAATGCAGGCTGCGGGGCAGGGGTGCTACTCCACTCAGGCTGGGCTTGTTCCATGTCAGGGTCTCTGCAGAGGAGGAGGGTGGAGAGAGGGCAGACACTAAGACCCCATCCACAACCCCTCTGCTTTCACTCCCAGCCCTGCCTCCCAGCCCAGAGAACTCCAATATCCAGGCTCCCGAGCCCCCTTGCTGTAGCCCTACAGACCCTTTTTGCCTCCCAGAACCATAAGAACCCAGTCATCTAGTCTCCCAGACACCCCACTTTCACCCTGCAGGTTCCACTCCCCACTCAAGAGAACGCAGTATCCAGGCTCCCAACTATCACCTCCCCAGACCTAATTCCCCCTAAAGAACCCAGGCACCTGGGATCCCAGCTTTCACCTCCCCAGACCTTACACCCCCTTAGAGAACCCAGGTGTCTAGGCTTCCAGTTCCCATTGCCTTCAACCACCATACCCTCCCCATAACCCATCCAGAACAGAGAGAGAACCCAGGTGGCTGGGGTCCCACTCCCCTGCTCTCATCTCCCCAGCCTCTACTCAGGTACCCAGGCTGCCAGCATCACTAGCCCACCAGATCCACCTCCCTTCCCCAAGCAAGGAGAAGAACCCAAGTAGCTGGGCTCCCAACCCCATGCTCTTCCCAACCACCCTAAGAAAAAGAAAGAACCCAGCATCTAGGTTCCCTGTTCCTTTGCTCTAACCTGCCTAGTGGGAAGGGAACCCAGGTGCCCAGACTCACCAATATCAAGGGTCCAGAGGTCGCCAAGGCGGCAGCCACTCATGCCACCATAGATGACAAGCTTGGACTTGCGGGTGTCACGCTCAGTGTAGACCACAGCTGTGTGGGACTCACGGGGTGGTGGCAACACCCCATACGTGATGGGGATGTCCCAGGCCACCACACCTGAGCCTGCCCGCAGTTCCAGCAAGTACAGGTCATTCAGGTACCTGCAGGGGAGTAGGAGGGCAGTCAGCAGACGCATCAGGATTCCCCCAGCACAGAACAGGATCCCCAGCATTCCCAGACCAGAGGCCAGGCTCTTGCAGGCGCCCCACCCTACCCTGGCAGAGACCAGGCTCCCCCAGACCCCTCCACCAGCACAGGCCAGCTGAGGCCAAGAACCCCTCGGACCCTCCCAGCAAAGATCCAGAAACCCCCAAGCTTCCCAGACCACAGGCCAGCCTTCTCCAACCAAGGCCAAGATTCGCTGGCTTCCCAGACCACAGACCAGCTTCCTGTCAGACCTCCAACCCCACTCCTCCCCCCAGCAGAGGCCAGGCCCCCGCCCCCCCAGTTGAGGTCAGGCCCCTCCAGCTCCCTCCCTCAGCACAGGCCAGGCTCTCCAGTGGAGCTAAGGGACCCCCACACCCTATCCCAGCATCAGGGTGGTATAGATGAGAAAAAGCATGCATTCCCACGCAGCTCCACTAGAGGCCCCCCTTGCCCCAGAGTTGAGAGGGGACCCAGCCATCTAGGCTATTCTGCTCTAAGACTAGCTCTCAAAGAGGACCCAAAAGTCCTGGATCCTCTGCTAGAGGCACTGGCTCCCATTAGAGAACCCAGGCATCTGGGCTCCTATCTCCTCTCCTCTATGCATGCCAAACAGGCCTGTCCCCTTGCAGAGCTGGGAGAGAAACCAGAAGTCTGGACTCCATCTCCACCTTGGGTAACCCCAGCATCTGGACAAACCTGGGGATGTTGTTCTTGGGGTCTTCACTGTCATTGGCTAGCCCCCCAAAGAGGTAGCACTTGTTGCCAACCAGTGAGAAGCTGTGGCCCAGGCGGGGGCAGGGTGGAGGCCCATTCTTGGGGGTCTTTGCCTTCAGCCTCTTCCACTCCCAGCGGCTGGCCTGCAGGGGGGGAGCGTCACAGCGTGTTTGTGGAGGGGGCAACGAACAGTCCCCCCTTGCCCCTGCCCCATCTTTTGCCAGTGGCTTCTAGGAACCAGGAAAGGACCCAGGTATCCCACCCCCACTCCTGCTTCCCAGCTACAATACAACTCAGAAGGGAGAGGGGACCCAGGAGTCCAGGTCCTCTGCCACCTTCTCTAATAGACTGGGACTGCACCCTGGTGCCCTGGTTCTCAGCCCCCCACTCCAGCTAAAACACAGCCTAGATGTCTGGGTTCACTGTGCTGTAATCTAAGGTACTATCCCCTCCCTGCACCTTACTGGGCTTGAACTCAGACATTTGGGCTCCCCTTCAGCCCCAGAAAACCTGACATCCTGCAGGGATAGAATCCAGGTGTCCTGCCCTCCTACCCCAGCCCCGCAGTGTCAGGCCACCCATAACCCAGGTGTGGGACCCTGGCATTCTGCCTCCACAACCCTCTCCCCTGCTGTCAGGTTCCACCCCCACAGCCCAGATCATGGGAGCCTGGTGTCCTGTCTCCCCAGGTCCCTGCCCCTCCCCCCAGCTCACCCCCACAGGTTCCCTATCCCACCCCCTCCAGTGTCAGGGCCCTGCATAGCCTAGAGCATGGGATCCTGGTGACCTGGCCGCCCGACTCCCTGCCCCCCTCTCCCTCATCTCAGGTCCCTTCTAACCCAGAGTGTGGGACCCCACCCACCTGCTCCTCCAGCCCAGAGCATAGGATACTGGTGTCTGCCCCCCCGCCACCCACCAGCCCACATGTTGGGATCCCAATGTCCTGCCTGCCCCACTAACTCCCCTCCCCCAAATTTTAGACCCCTTCCCAGCCCAAAACATGGGACCCCTGTGTCAGCCCAGAGGTCGCATCTGCGGCCCCCCCCACCTCGCACCTGGAGTTCATAGAGGTCGTTGCTGTACTTGCCATACTCCACCATGCCACCGAAGACCAGCAGGCGGGTGCCATCGCACACAAAGCCGTAGGCGGCACAGCCTGGCGGGATGTCTCCCCGCACAGCTGGGATGAACCACTGGTTGGTGGCTGCCGGTGAGATTTGGGGGGGTGGGGGGGTGTTGGTCAGTTCAATGCCTTGAGAACCTTCATACTGGGGTACCTGTACTGCCCCTGCCTGCTTAGTCCAGAATAAACCCAGGCATCCAGGCTCCCCCCTCTACCAAAACCCCTGAGAACAACAATACTGAAAACTTTTATGGGTGGGGGACGACACGACGACGGACGGACGACACGCGACCCAGAGCTGCCCCCATCCCAGAAGCTGGCAAGACTAAATAATCCTACTTCAGGGGGCGAAAAGGTAGGGATCCCAGGTGTCCAGGTAACCAGACTAGGGCTCAGCCCCAGGTGGAACTGTTCCCTCTCCCAACTGCTGTGAGGGGTGGGGAAGGGGATGGAACCCAGGTGTCCAGGGGCTACACTCCAACTAGAAGCTAAGAAGTGGCTGCAGGGGAGGGGGTTTTGAACCCAGGTGTCTGGGTCAGGAAGCTCTATGCTGAGACAGCAGAAGGGTGGTGTCTGGGACAGAGATGGCTTAAACACCAAACCTTGGGACCCTGGGAGACAGTTGAACCTAGGTGTCCAAGCAGAGAGCGGGGGTAACACTCTACAGCTCACCCCCTGCAAGCTACCCCCTGCTCTGGAAGCAGCGGATGGAACCCAGGAGTCCAGCAGAGACACCCCCCCTCCTCTTCTCATATTTGAAGAGGAAACACCTGCATGACAGGGGTGGTGTTTCCCCCAAGGAGGGGAAAGGAACCTGGTGGGTGGGGGTCAATCAAGTCTTTAACTCCCTTGCCTTCTGACACACACTTAGGGAGCTGGACACATGGGTCCTCTCCCTGCTTCAAGCAGATCCAGGGCCCAGATGCCTGTGTGTCCCCTGACCCTGGCTTAAATTACAAAGAGCTGGAGTCAGGGGAGCCAAGGGGAGGGCAGGTTTTGGGGCTACGCTGGGCCCTGCCCCAGTGGCCTTCATGAGGGGAACACCAATGGGAGGGGAAAGAGAACCCCCCCACGCCCTGCAGCTAGGGGGGGTGGAGCCCTAACCCCCCCACAAGCATCTCAGTGCCCCCCCAGAGCTAATAAAACCTGTCCACCCCGCCTCCCACCCAAGCAGAGCAAAGGGTTAGCAGCACCACTGTTTTAAATTTGAATTTGGCGGGGGAGAGGAGATGGGGACACACACACACACACACACACACACACGCATAGGCAAGATTGTCTCACTAAGATGGGGGGGTGCAGAAAGTGTCAGAGGAGGAGCTGTCAGGGAGAGGGGGAAACAGGTGGGAAAACAGCCCACTCCCACACACACCAATACCCACTACAAGAGGGGCAACATACCCCTTGTAAACAACCTCTGTGCCCCCAACAGGGAAGCAGTAACCCTCTCACAGTGTGACAGTTACCCACAAACAGCTGTCAACCCCCTCCCGAAAAACCCCAAGAGGAGACCCACTGCCAGCTACAGGGAGGAGGCCCCTAGGCAGGGGGAGGCAGACACCTGTTATTGTAGGCCTATGCCCTGGGGAGATCCCACATTGGAGGAAGGAAAGAGGCAGGGTATATAGCATGATGTCATTCCCCCCACCCACTTTGTACTAGAGGGGAGGGAGCAGACAGGCAGGGGAGAGCTGGACCATCCCATTGACCCCCCCACCATGCCACCCCAACTTTGGGAGACCACACATGGGGAAGGTGGTGGGGTCTAGTGTTCCACCAAGCCATCCTGCAGGGGCAGACAGGGGACTCTCACCAGTGTTATAGACGTGCAGCTCATCCACGATGCCCTCGTTGCCACCACCAAAGACGACGATGAGCTCCTTGATGGCCACAGCGCGGTGGCCATGGCGGGGCCGCGGCACAGGACCAGACCAGCCCACCACCCGCTTCCAGCGCGGCTGCAGCAGCCCCAGGCTGGGAGCAGCCCCAGAGGTCCCGTCGGCTGGGGAGGCCCCCCCGGGGGTGGCAGGCGACACCGCAGTGGCCATTGATGGCCCCCCTTGAGCGGTCCTGGGGGCAGTGGGGGAGGGGGTTGTTAGTTTGGGATGGGGCCAAGGCTACTGCAATCCCTCCTCTCCAGCAACCTTTGCCCACTTGCCCTGGCTTAGGGGGTAACCCCTCCTCAATGGAGCAGTTACCCCCCTGCAGCAGCTTCAACCCCCCCGATCTATGAAAAGAGCAAAAGTCCACCCGATGGGGATGGGGCAAATGCCCCCCTCCATGAAGCAGGCACTTCTCCCCCCTTCCAGGAAGGGGGAGGATTCCCCCAGTGGGGACAGTTAGCCCCCCTGCCTGACACAGGGGGGCAATTACTTCAGGAGATGGAGTTACTTCAAAAAGGGGGACAACTACCCTCCACCCCAGCAGGCAGTTGTAACGCCCTCACACACGGGAGCAATTACCCTACTGCCCCTCCTCCCTCTGACAGGACACCCCCCCTTGGAGGGGCAACTAACCCCCCCACGGGGCAAGTCCCCTCCCCTCAGCGCGGGTCCCTGGGAGCCGCCATCTTGTGCTGCCCGAACGGAAAATGGCGGCCGCCGCCGCCGCCTCGC